TTTTTTTGTAATTACAAACAAAAACCTGATGCAGATTGGAGTCCTTTCGGGTCTCAAATTGACTAGCAGACGTCTAACACGCACTCTTCAATACTTCACTCTTCCATGCATCCACACATCCAAGCATTCGAAAATGATATACTATTATATAAAATTATACATATATATTTTTTATTTTAAGATTTCGTTTATATGTACTAATTAAACTAATTTTAACTGTACTAATTTTAATTACATTTTATGTTTGCACACAAACATTTTTATAATATAAAATCAACTAATTTATATTTAATCATTATAATTTATATATATATATATATATATATATAATTTTTTTTTTACATTTATTTTACAGATGCCTAATGGATATCATCTAACTACCTGAAGGAGTGACGGAAATGAACATGTTAACCAAATTTTGAGTGAAATTTTATGGCACGTAAGAAACCACTATGCCACACAACACATTCCACACATATGGAGGTAATTTTGCATGAAAATAATAATTTTTATTTGTTCCTCTGGAAATGAAAGTCCTGTCATCTGTATGTATCGTAAGCATGCAAAAATGATTAAGAGCTTGGGCAGATTATTCAGTAAATAATCACAAAAACAAATTTCATTTCAGTCTGTTCCACACATTTATCATATGGCATCTGAAGACTTGGAATGTTGTGCTTTAATATAAAGTAATATGTTTATTATTAAGTTGTACAGACTTATTTTGCGATGCTTCGTCATTTTTGGAGCTCAGCAGTCATAAATACTATCCGCTTTTATTGTATGGAAAAGATTTGTCTTTATTTGAACAGTATTAACAAAAACATGTTTCTAAAGTGACATGAGGGTGATTAATTGATGATAGGATTTTCATTTTTCATAGAACTGTCATATTTAAAGTGAGCGTGTGATTTAGTATGTGAGAGACTGTGTGTGTCTGATCTGTGTTAGACGCTTTATAAGCCCCTGCCTGCTCTCTCTCAGGTACGGTACCGTAGAGAACACCTGTCCTGCTGGCCGTTCCCACACCTGGCTGTGATGGAGGATCTGATGAAGGATGTTTGTGATGGCGCGGCTCTGCTAGCGGTCGTTCACTTCTACTGCCCTGAATACATGAGGCTAGATGGTATATAGACACACAATGGGCCACAAATGAGCAGAATAATCGTGTCAATTCATCCTTATGTAAATTGTTGCAATCAATTCAACTCCACAGTTTAAATAAGGTTTCTTTGGTGAATAGAAAGTTCAAAGAATGTAGCATGCATTTGAAATAGAAATAGCCTACTTTGTAACATTATAAATGTCTTTTCTATTAGATATTTGTCTGAAGGAGGTGCCGTCTCTGTCGGACAGTGTGTATAACATCCATCTGCTCCGGGAGTTTTCTAACGAATACCTGAACAGGTGTTTTTACCTGCACACTGAAGATCTGCTCTACAGCCCACCAGTGCTGAAGGTTCGTACTGAAATATATTTCATTCAGTAATACAAAAGTATAGATAAAATAGCTACCTTCTAAGAAACCAAATACAAAAAATAAAACGGCACTGCATGCATTCTTCAGTTAAAACAGTCCCACAACACATTGCTCCAAGCTCAGTGAAAACAAATCTACTTATACTTTTAAACTGACATGCTTAAAAATAAAATAAATTGTTTATCCAATTAATCTAAATGACATGTAAAGTATTTGTACATCATGGTCGTTTTTGTTGTACTGCCTTTAATATATGCATATTTTAATAATATAATATAATCTAAAACTAAAAGTATTAATAATTGTTTTTTTTTATTTAAATAAAGCTGAAATAAAATCAAATATAAATATTGAATTTGACGTACTAAAACAAAAACTGAAATAAAAATAATTTAAAGCAAATAAAAATTAAATAATACAATTATTCTATTTTAGTATATGTTTACTGCATATAAACTAAAAGTATTAATAATTTTTTTAATTGAAATAAAGCTGAAATAAAATATAAATATTGAATATGAAGTGAATATGTACTAAAATTACTAAAACAAAAACTGAAATAAAAATTAATTAAAGCCAAATTGAAATATAAAACAATAACAAAATGGCAAAAGCATATACCAAAATGACTAAAATTTTAACTAAAACTAAAACTGAAAATAAAATAAATGCTTATTCAAAATAGCAATAAATACTGTTAGAGTATATAAATAAATAAAATAGATTGTTAATCTAATTAATCAAATTAAATTGTAAAGTATTTGTACATCATGGTCATATTTGTTATAATGTCTTTAATATATGCAGATTTTAATTAAATAATACAGTAATTCTATTTTAGTACAGTATATATTTACTGTATTATATTTTAATAAAGTTTAATTACCTTTGAGAATAATAGAAATTTAAAAAATGTGGAAAATTAAAACATCTCTGTGTATTACAGTTAGTGGTCGACCGATATGGGTTTTTTGACAGCCGATGCCGATATCTTGGAAAGCAGGGTGGCCGATATAAAGCCGATATAATTTTATTTATTTTAATTAATATTTAAGAAATTTGAAATCGTCTTTGACTTGTTCTTGTTCCTCCAGCATAACGTGATGGTTTTCATTGCTGAGCTCTTTTGGTGGTTTGAAGTAGTGAAGCCGGACTTCGTAAAGCCAAGAGACCTTCAAGAGATTAAAGATGGTAAGAATCCAGTCTTTAAAGCTCACTACTTTTCTGACACTTTGTTTCGATCTAAAAATATCCATCTCATGATTCATTCACTCTTTTATTTAAATGCTATGTTGTTATTGACAACCCATTGCTCCAATCTGACAGTGAGAGCGTCTCTTCAGCCAAAGAGTTCCCGCCCCCATGTGCCCATATCCAATGCCACCAAGCGAAGCCTCTTAACTCCCTCCCCTTCAGCCGACTCGCTGGCGACAGCTGCCACTCCTGATGGTTGTATGCGGTATTACTTGCACCCTGAGGAGTCCTTGTCTGTGTAAGTCTGTTTGAAGTACCTAATGATCTGTTGCACATTGCAGTACATATTTTGCATTACATTGATTGTTTTATAAAACCTATATTTCATTTTAGCTTCAGAACAAACAGAAGCCCCTCCCACCCGCTCCTCCCACTGCGACAGAGACCGCAGAAGCCCACTCAGAGGGAGGAGAATTCAGGTAACTACATCTTCTAATCAAACTTTCAGCAATATTCACATATTACGCTTAAATCAATAACACTGATTAAATTGAACAGTTGCCTTTCTATTTTCTCATCTTTCTCTATCATTCTGTGAGCAGAGCTCAGGAACAGGTCAAACTCTTTGTCCCGTATGGATGGACTCATGCTTGGATCACAGTTTGCCTGGACAGAACGGAAACAAAGGTTAGGGTCAGGTCAAATGTTTTAACTAAAACTATTAAAATCTTTTTTTATATATAGTATTATAGTTTAACTCGGCTTTATTTCAGATATTTTTGTCATATTTATTGGAATATTTGGCTTTATTCCAAAATATTTTATGATATTTTATAAAATAAAATAAATATTAGATGAAAAACTTATAAAAGATAAAAAAACAAAAATTTGAATTCTTGCTCTGGCAACTAACTGAAATAAAATACGTAGAAGATGAAGTACTAAAATTACAGCCAAATAGAAAAAAACTACTAAAAATGACAAAAGCACATAACAAAAATTACTAAAACTTAAACTGAAATTAAAATGAAAACTGAAAATTTACAAATAAATGCTAATTCAAAATAAGTACTGTAATAGTATATAAATAAAATTCTATGAAAATTATTTAATTCATTTTATTTCTGTGTGTTAATATCTATTTTTGGAAATCCAGGAAATTAAATTCAAATGAAAGCTACTTTATCTCATATAATTATTTTCTCCTTTTATTTGGAAATTGCAAAATCTCTATAGGTTTACAACAGCCCAGTCTTGAATGAATGACTAACCCGTTCAAATTTCAAACCTCTGTTTTCTCAGGCCCATCTCTCAGATGGAGATGGATTGGGAACGTGTATGTGGCGATAATATCAGCTTGGCTCGATCCATAAGCAAGGACAGTTTAGCTTCCAATGTCGTCGTCATCACTCCACGACACCGCATCAACGGCCAGCCCCTCCCCCAGACACGTCACTATGACAACCAGGAGGAAGAGGAGGAGCTACTGGCTGTGATTAACCCAGAGGGCGCGTCTGCATCCAGAGACGCCCGACCCGAGAGTTTCTTCTTGGAACCATTGCAACCTGCGGTTCTACGACCAAATAAGGAGAAAACGGAGGTTAGTAAGTGGGAAGAGAGTGGAGAGGGGCGGAGTCAGGGACGCCGGGGGGCGTATACACCCACAGAATGCACTCTCAACCGGACGTTTACGCCGATCGGTAGCATAGAGCAAGCAAACTCTCGAGCTCAATCTCCCGGAAGCTTCTTCCTGCACGACGACGCGGTGTGCGTGCGGGACAGTCCGCTCGACGACGCGGAGTGCGTGCGGGACAGTCCGCTCGGAGGCTGGGAGGACATCGCCTCGGATTCGGAGTTTGAGGAAGATGACGAAATGGAGGTCCAAGAGCAAGAGATTTCCAAAGCAGTTCTGATGCACGCTGGGAGGAAATGCATGGGACTCGGAGAGGAAGAGGAGTCTGCGAAACTGCGCGAGGACGTTTGCTTGCGCGAACGGTACGATAAAGAAGCCGCGAGTGGAAGGGCAAGTCCTTGCCCCAGCATGTTGTCGCAGGCCAGCAGCACGTCGACTGGCACTGGCCGATTGACGAGTTTCGCAGAACGCCGTAGACATAGAGTCGGATTCCCCGATGGTTGCTGCAGCACCGGGAGCTCGCAGACAACCACTCCTGATGGATCCGAAAGCGTGCAATTCCCTTCGGATGCGAGTCCGGGAACGCTAGGTGGCCGACCTGGTCTCGCTTCCGAACTCGTACACCTTCGCATGCAGCTGGAGGAGAAACGGCGCGCTATTGAGATGCAGAAAAAGAAGATGGAGAACCTTTCGGCTCGGCAACGGCTGCAGCTGGGAAAAGCGGCGTTCTTGCATGTCGTTAAAAGGGGGAGGAGCGACACACTGCCACACCCACTGAAAACGGTAATTGGGTGTAAAAAGAAAGCGCTTGCGAAGGATGACTCGTGCGTTGAGATTCTGAAAGCCCAAGGAAAAGACGCGGAGAGTAAAGAAACGCCGGTAGAGGAGGATAAGGACAATCGTTTGAGTGTAACAGGAGGGGGCGGGGCTTCGGATGATGTGGGCGGAGAACCAGATCTCGGCGAATGTAGCCGTTCCATTGAGCTCCTGAACGAAGCGATCGGAGCGATACAGCAGCAAATGATGCAACTGTCTCTCCAGCAGGACTTGCTCATGAAACAGACCATCCAGTGCCCGCAGGAAACCAAACCAAGCACTGTGCCGCCCTTAAACGAACACCCGCCGGAGCAACCTGAGACTAAGTCACGCCTTTCCGTACAGTTCACGGAAACCCTTTCCACCGTAACCAAACGTCCTCCCAGGCTCAGCTCAAGTCGTACGCCTCGGACGAAACCTAGCGACCTCAAACTGAGCAAAGATGCCAACAGTCGTCCAGCTGCGAAAGCAAGCACTCCGACACCGGGAGGCAGGACCCCCCTGGCTGAGAGTGAGGAAGAGGGCGGAGCTAAAGAGGGTGGGCATGGCTCAAAAGGAATTATTCGCAATACTACATTCAGACAGCAGGATGCCGCAAACCGACGCGCCGACAGCCTCGACTCGCCCCAAAACAAACTCCCCCTGCTGGAACCGTCGCCTGTCGATCCAACCCAGGAGCGGAGCGAGTCCGGCGGCTCTGGAAAGGAGAACGTTCCGATTCCGTCCGAGGAAAACAGAACGAAAGCACAGCTGATTGAAGTGGACCTATCTGACCTGGCTGAACCGACTGAAACTAGCACAGAACCTGATGAGGAACAGAAATCCGGACTGGGCTTCTTCTTTAAGGTATCAGAGCATTTTTGCAAAAGATGATGATTATTATTATTATTATATATTTTAAATCTATTATTATAATATGATTCTATCTGTCTGTGTTATATTGCATTGTAAAAAAATTCGGTCCCACTTTATATTAAGTGGCCTTAACTACTATGTACTTACATCAAAAAATAAGTACATTGTACTTATTGTGGTCATATTGTATTGCAAAACACTTTTGCTGCTATTGAGGTGGGATTGCATTGTACCAAATGATTAATTTAAATGTAAGTACATAGTTGTTACGGCCACTTAATATAACGTGGGTCCAAAAATTCTAATTATATTGCGTTATAAAATGGAACGTTTCAGCCCCAAGAAGAGTTGTTTAATATGATTTCTTTTTATTAAATTTATTATTATTATTATTATCATTATTATTATTAGATCTAAGAAGAGTGGGTTAATATATATTTGTATTATTATTATTACTATTATTATTTAAATGTTTCTAAATCTACTATTATAATATGATTTATCTGTTACTGTGTTGCATTATAAAATTTATTCTAATTATACTTAGAAATGATGTTTAATGTGATTTATTTCTATTTTTTTGGTTATTTATGGTAATTTAGTTGTTTTTTGGTTGTTTATTCATTTTTATTAAGAAATAAAACTTTAATTATTTATTGAGCATTGATGTCTTAGCATTTTGCTATTGCTAGCATTTCTTAAAGGCCATAAGAATGTGAAAAGGCACCAATGATCAATAATTTAATAAATGTTTTTGATTAAATAAAATTGCAGTATAAAATTGTGAATGTAATTTATTTTGTTCACAATTGCAAATGATTTTCTCTTTTAATTACTTGTCACATCTTGTCTGCCTATGATTTTATTTTATTATTTGAAATTAAAACCAATGTCTCCATTTTCCATTTCTGTATGCAGGATGATCAGAAAGCAGAGGATGAGCTGGCTAAGAAGAGGGCTGCGTTCCTCCTCAAACAGCAGCGTAAGGCCGAAGAGGCGCGAATACGTAAGCAGCAGCTGGAGGCGGAGTCAGAGCTCAAGCGAGATGAAGCCAGGTATCAGTCTCTGTGGATCCAGTGTGTCTTTAAGTAAATACTGTAGAAAGGCTGCTGCAGATACATTTGTTTGTTCGTGTCAGACGAAAAGCTGAGGAAGAGCGTGTGCGTAAAGAGGAAGAAAAGGCTCGGAGGGAGCTGATCAAACAGGAGTACCTGCGCAGGAAGCAGCAAGAACTTCTGGAGGAACAGGGTGTGACCAAACCACGCCCACGTAACAGGAGGCCCCGCCCTAAATCACTGCATCGCGCTGAATCTTCCTGTTCTGCTCGTAAGAAAGCTTTCCTTTTAATGTGCCATATTTCTGACTTGACATGCCTGAATTTGTGCATCTATACATGCTACATTTGATTAGAACATCACTCTTCCTCTCTCCAGCGGTTAGTCTTTGTTCTGCTCCCTCCGGATCGTCTCTCTCATTGGCCTCTGCTGCTACTGAAGGTGACAGTGTGGCGTCAGGAGGGGCCAGTTCACACAGGTGAGTGGGAACAGACCATCAGTGTGCGGCCCACTTTTCTGGACTTAAAATGATAGGTCTATGCCAAAATGTTGAATTTATTTTTAATGCATTATTTTATTTATTTATTAATTAATTTGTTTATTCATATTTATTCGTATTTATTTATTGGTAATTCATTTATGTATTTTAACTTTTTTTTATTTTTATTTATGTAGATATTTTAGC